TGAAGAACTATTGGGTTAAATTTAAGTATCTGGAGCAACCTGGGAAAAAAAACTTCAGAGGAATTTAGGAACGGCTCAAGGAGAAATTGGGCAACGCTTCAAGGGAACATAAAGGGTCGCGGGTAAAAGCATTAAAACTCTTGCGGCCTAGAAGTTGCTTGTACACGCTGATATACCTTAATAAAAAGTACGCGTTTGATTATCAGCGAAGATGAAGGGAATTTGACAGGTTCTCAAGGGAAGCTTAAGGGAATGATATACGAAGTTGCAGAAAACATAAAAACAGCACAATAAAAGAAATCGGATAGAAGCTTCTTGACAAAAACCTTAGAGGAAATTGAGAAGAACTTTAGGGAGGATTTGACTCGAAAAAGAAGAAGGAAAGTAGGGAACCTTGGTGGAATTTGAAAATCTCGGAATGAACTTGGTTCAGGAAGAAATTGAGGGAGAAATCTTGGGAAGTATTTGATGAGAACTTTATTTGAGAGGAATTTGATTGAGTCTATAGGAAAGTTGTGAAAAAGCGTGACCTAATACTCAGTCATTTCAAGGTAGTGGATTCGGCTTCGGCAAAAAACTTCACTTTGTTGTCTTTTTTATTCATCTTTTTTTTTAATTTTCAAGGTCGGATCCAGATAAACAAAATAACAACCAGCATTGCTTCAGAAAGAGTAAATCCAGGATATATTGCGGGAAATAGTCGAGCGTTTAAAGCAAATAAATAGCATTTTTTAATGCCTGTTCATGCTTAAAAGCATCCATTCTTTCCACCCTTGTATATACACTAGCTTCCAGAGCCGGACTGCTTTAATATCACCTAGGTACAGGGGAAAATGTACGATGTCGTCAAAACAGTACCTATTCAAAACACATCTCTCCAATATTTTTTTTGTTTTCAATCATTTTTTTTCTGAATTTTAAAGGGTTTAACCAAAAAAGAAAACAGCTCTTCGCGTTTTGAGAAAAGGTGTGTAATATACATATGTTGAACCGTTCAAGATAATGTCAAATTTTAGCATTTCCTATATATCGAAAAACCAAATGTTATGGATTTCGTACGAACTCTTTGACTAACACATCGTAATATCAACAGTGTCTATTGATCTATTCGCATTTTCCGTCGCCTTTATGGTACCCATGTTTATTTGATTCAATATGTAGGGACTTTTAATACATTTCTAATATTTTTCCTCGGTCAGTTTCCTTCCTGCAGTTTTTTATAATTATCATTTCCCGTCAATTTCTGCCCGCAACGCATCCAGCCATTCGGGCCCAAGGCAGTACACACGTTGGAAGCCTGTACACAACAGTTTTACATACAGGAACGAGTACAAAATTGGCGACATATGATTTAATTGAAAAAGTGTGTAGAATTAAAAGATGAAGCACTTGATTAACTTCTTATATCAAAGCCGTTAGTTTTTAAATTTACGTCGGAGACGCATAGTAATTGACCATGACGAGCATAAAATTAGCAATTAGGATGATATTTGTAATGTATTATTAAAATTAATTGGCTAACAATGTTTAAATTCGGCCCCTTTTAATAAAGAACCGACCGGGGTTGATCTTTTTTATTTGCTAAATTTCTTTATGCCGTGACTGTGATAAATGAATTTAATAAGCTTCACAATAATGACTTTCATCATACTATAATTATTCATACGCTGCTTTAGTTTTATTATACCATATTAATAAAGTTTAACTTAATTACGTTTAGGTATAATTAAAATTCAACACAAATTACTCACAGCATGATAAGGCAACTTCACGACAGCCAAAGCAAATATAAAACGTTTTTACCCCCTACAAAACGTGAATTGTAAATATTACCCCACAAAATATTAAATAACTTGAAAAGTAATTAAACCGGCACCTAATCCTCATTAATTTATGTAATTTTCGCGGCGACACTATAAATTCGTCAAATGTCAAAGTGCAATCGAAGTAAGCGTATATGTCGTTTAGCAAAACGTAAATAAATCAAAAAGATATTCGCGGAATGATCGACATTTGATCCGAAACGTATAAATTTGATACTCGGCTCTTTTGTGTCTGTTAACAATGTATTGTTTTACATATTTTACATGCAAATAAAATGCAATTTGTTGTTTGCATTCTATTTTTAAGTGACTTTCGAATTATTTTTTGATATTGCGAACTGAATGCTAACACTATTTGCATATGGTTTTGCATGTCGTCCTTCCACATATTTTTAGCGATGGTATTTAACAAACGAGTATCACCAATGATCGCAAAAGGGCTTTTCTCTACTCGGAATCTTATTTAGTTTAATTCCAATTAAACATATATTTTATCATATTTATAATGTTTTTGTTTGAAAATCTAATTTTTTCCCAAATTTACACACGTCACACATTATGCCCAGTGTGAGGGGGCACTTACGAGTATTTACTTTGAATTTTGCAAGTATAAGCATATGCTTCTTTTTATTCATATGGGCCATTGTATCAAAAATATAGTCCCTTCATCATTTGAACTATTTTCAAAAAATAGGACACTTGTGAATATACTCTGGCATCAAACAAACGTATACGAAAAATCCTCATTCGGATTAATGTACGGATTTTAACTTTCAGTTGGCAAACTATTCCATGATGCCTTCCAGACATATTCGAAGTTTATTAATAATATTAATGGTTACATTTAAAAGTAAATCATTGAGTAATTAGGTGATATATTTTGATACGGTTTAAGACAATACCATTAAGAATGGGAATATGGGAATATTAATAACCGTTATTAATATAAAGGACAAGCATTGTTCAAGCGGAGTGGTGATTTATTTTAGACAAATAAAATTTATGAATCTTTTTTTTATTCCTTTGTAAGCTTAGAGACGCCGCCGTTCATTAGTCCTGGCGCTAGCTGTCATTTTGATTGATTGTTTAACCATCTCTCTTCAGTTCATTGAAACCTTTATAATATCTATCTTCTTATCGATGTGATTTATATTATATTGGGTGCGTTTTAAATAAATGTTATCATTGCGATAGCCTGCACTAATTTTGATGCGTGCACTAAATCTACGGCGAGGGCAGTAAATAGTAATCCGCTTCACTTCAATTAAAAGAAAAACGAGATTTAAACGGGTACTCACTGAATAAATTCAACTCGAACCGAAGACAAGCTGTATTTACGTTTAGAGAAGATTTAACCATAAAATAAAACTAAGCACAGTAAATTTGTACTTAGATTAACAAGTACTAAACGTAATGCTAAGTGTCCGGAGCAAGAAGGCATGGACTTAGAGGGCATTAACATATAAATAGAAAACGATTGCCATGATAGTACCTTATGCAGTATATTACGTATTTTTTATGGTGCCATTGCTTGAATTAAAATAGCGGAGAACACAATAAAATTCCAAACATTTAAAGTGTTCTATTGTTGTAAAAACCACAAATCGGTTTATGCTAAGAATGTACACTTGGTAGACCAATAAATATACTAAACTGTTTTATATTCGCATTGAAAATAAAATATGCCAACTCCACGAAACCTAAATCACTCTATAAAAATATATGTGCCGTTATCGGGCAGAAAATCAAAATGTAAGCTGGAGCGAATTCAATAAACAGGGTACCGAAATATGTATAAGATAATTTTCATAAAATCGGTAATTGTATGGGTGTATTCGCTTTGGGTTGAATTAAAGTTGATAAAATGGGGAGTCGACAATAGCGAAATATTGTGCCGCATTTTTATATAGTGTAAATCAGATACGATACTTCAGCTTATACAAGAAGCGCAACCAGCGGGTATTTTCAAATTTAAATTTCAAGCTGTAGATAGGGACATCTCTATTTGAGACCACACCAGTATACATGAAACGGCAAAAGACTGAACAAAAGAAAGAGTCTGAATAACTTTATAACAACCGGCCATTTCAATGGCGTGTTGTGAAAAGTATCGCTGGCCATTTTAATGTAATATTTTTATTTCTTCTTCCCCTAATGGCAAGTGTGGTAATTAAAAAATTGTGTTTTGTGCAAAATTCTGATAGAATTATAGACAAAGCCGCTTTGTAATCAAATGAAATATATCTGATTGTTTGGCCGACTAAAGACAGGCTTTTTAAAATTAAGGCAAATAGATTGTGTAGTGCTAGCGTAGAACCACGGCCTCAAATTCAGGTGCATTACCCGAAAATGTCTCCTGGAGATTCAAACTAGAGACATAGCTTGAGAATATGCGGCTATATATGAACTATGTTTGTGTGGACGACGGTGATATCATTTAAAAATTAATTGTAAGATTTTTATGCATTCATTAAACCCGGAATTCGAATACAGGGTGGTTGAAAATTGTTGTTTCTTTATCTAGGAAACTGTTAAAATTGCACTCACTATCCATGGATCACTCGATAATGACACTATTACATCTGGGATTACCATGATAGTATTAATTTCCGGAGAACCTTCAACCCCAAGAAAGAGTCGTTGTAGATTAGATTGGAAAGTTTACTTTTATTTCTTTCCAACTTTAGCAAAATCTTTCTAATAAACATAGCACCTTTGGCGTATTCAGTACAGCGTCGACAATGCTATAAGCAGGTTTGGTTTTCTGATACTCGTTCAGGTTTTAGTAGAGATTTCCTCTAGTTGAAAAAGGTTTCAGCTTTCGTTAGTACCTAAATAAAATCATGGAGTAGGATCGTCAGAATAGCTTTTTTAATTCTACAAGGTGTGGCCATCAGTATTGCATTCGGATACCATTTTCAGCAAAACCTTTTCCCATTCGTTTTCTTGAATTGGCAAATAATCCGTTTTGTTCGACAATTTCTTGTGTTTTTTTACTCAAGCATTTAACGAAAGATTGGTATTAATAAGAAATACATACAAAAAAGTGTAGAATTTTGATACCTAATGTAAAATGAGCTTTAGGATATTTCACGCATATTCACAACTTAGCGATGATATTCAGGAGGCGCTGGATGTAAGTGGTTTTAAAACAAATGAGTTGACATTAGATATTGTCAAATTTACCACCGTCAATTAATCCCCAAAGTGTGTCAAATGCAGGGTTGTGCGCAGCTGATTCGTTTTCCGAATTTTGAAGTAGGACAAGATATGTACCATTACATCTTATCCACCAGGGTTGGTATTATCACCTTAAAAAATTGAGTAGGTATGATTACTTTTTTTCAGAAATGTTTGTGTTGTGTTCGGGAAATGTGTCGAAGAAGACTTTGTGCATATTTGGATTGGTGACTGTATTCTTAATTGTACACGCTTTCTACGCATTTTATCCGTCATTCAAAATTTCCATATCGATCGTCCTTTACACGTCAACTAAGGAACCGGAAACGACTATTGTCACAACTCTGGAATTAAATACTACCTTAGCAAACATATCAACAAGACACCCAGATAAGGAAGATATTTTTTCAATGATTAACCCATTCCATTGTCCTAATCAAGGTGAGCACCTGCAACTTGTGATAATGATCCCGACGACTCCATCTCGACAGGGTGCTCGTCTGGCTATAAGGTACACGTGGGGTCAGGTTGCGTCCAGAGACGATGTCTCAATGTATTTTATAATAGGTCAAGCGGAAAACTTAACAGTTCAAACGAATATCGAGGAAGAACAATTTCTGTTTGATGATATTATGCAGACACAGTTCATTGATACCTACACTAATTTAACTCTCAAGACTCTCTCCATCATAAAATGGGTGAAGGACTACTGCCTTTTAGCTAATTATCTACTCAAGGTCGACGATGATGTCTTCGTGAATGGAGACAGACTACTCCAATTTATAGCAAGGCATACACCAGCAACCCGAACCATTTACGGAAATTTGAACACAGACACCGAACCAATCCGTGATCTACAATTAAAGCAGTACATACCGTTCGAGGAGTACAATGCAAGAGTATTTCCGGATTATGTTAGTGGATCTGCCTACCTCCTACCTGCTGGCTTGTCAGCAGAAATATACCAATCATCCCTAAAACGTAAAATAATTCGTTTGGAGGACGTTTTCTTAACTGGTTTGGTGGCCAATGATTTAGGAATTGATAAAATTCATGTTCCAGATTTTCGCAATAGATTCATACGCAGAGTTAGATGTTTCGTACATATGTCTATTACTATTCCCAAAGTAAGCGAAAGGCAACAATTCAGATTATTAAGACGGACGTTTTTATTAATGGAGCTATGTAGAAGATATTATTATTAGTGTTACATGCACTCTATAATAAATAAGTAGAAGTTTATGATTATTCTCTTATTTGTACATTGCAACGTTTTTGTGTCACGTCCATAAGCTCTTGCATTTTACCTGAAATTTGGGAGGTTCGCGGGTATGACCAGAGTGGATTATGCAAAAAAAGTTGAAATTAAAACTTTTAATAAATGCGACAATTTGGGGGTTAATAAATGATATATCCTAACAAATGAAAGTCAGATGGCTAAATAAAATGACAGACATAGCCATAAATGTAATGCACCCCTGTGGGTTCGGGGGCAGAATTGGCTCACTCCCGTCCTGGAGATCGTAAAAGGCGATCAATGGTCAGTAAAGGCTTTTCTTGCTTTCCCATCAATTTCCCCATTGCTGCACACGACATACTACCACAGAATAACAAACGCTCGCTAAGTTCGTAGTTCCCCTCAAGTTTGTTTCAAATTTTTATGAAATTCTTAACGCTTATGTTCCCTTTATATTCATTTCAAGTTCATTTGAAAATGTCCACAAGTACCTAGCAGATGTTTAAAATTATGTTGTGTTCCCCTCAACTCAAACGTTTCTCATTCTCAATTTCTTCTCATCCTTAAGTTTAGTGTATACTGGTCTGGTTCGGAGGGTTAGTTAGTTAGAAAACCTTTTCCCGCCTTATCAAATTTGATATAGTCGGCGCAGAGCTGGGCAGTATTCGATTTTGTAAATATTTTTTAGTATTCAAATACTTGTGACATTTATTTTTCTTAATTTTTATGGGCAAGGTTCATCCTTATTGTAGGCAACTCAATTTTCTTTGTATAATTCTGACAATGACCCTCATTGTTATCTTCATTTTCGTGTAGGTAGATTATGGGAACAATTTCTCTTTTACATTCGAGATTGCTTCGTAATTACAAGCGCTAAGACGACGGTCTTTAGATTTTGATTGTGGGTAGCTTTTACCGAAAATTGTATATTCCTCAAGACTCTGATTTTTGGAGTAGAGGATCTGCAGCAGTTTTTCTGGATTGGGTAATTGCTATTCTTTTTGGATTGAGGAGCATTTTAATTGGATTCATCCGATTGTTCCTCATATTACGGATTTCCGGCCCTAAAGAGCAATCAATTTTTTTAAGAAGAATATCTACATCAGTTCTAATTCTGTTAGGGGTAAGTTCTGTGTTCTTTTTATATATATCTTCAGTGGTAAGGCATTTTTGGTAATTCCCATTTAGTTTTAGTACGGGGCTAATCAAACCAATTAAGTTCGTGACGATTACACACCTGAGTCCCATTGGTCTTGGCGCTATCTTCAAGGTGAGGTCAAAGGGGGCATTCCATCGACGGTCAATTCAATCCTATCAGCTGTCAGCGTGGGATCAAGGTTGCCATTCCTATAAAAGGGCGTTACAGCGCAGCCAGTAGATAAGTTGCACTCCTTTATAACATATTTTGGGAAGAGTGTTAATTAATCGTTTGTACATATTTCAATTTGTTATCTTGTTGTTTGTATAGTAGCTAGTAGATTATTTCTTGGGAATTTAATAACCAGCTTGGGTAGTAGTTAGCAGTCATTTTCCTTACCAGATTAATTTGTGTGCAAACAAGAAACACTTTTTCTTATTAATTTTGGTGCGTAGAATCCAAAACAATTCGTACTTTTTCGATCAGACTTCTCAATCAAAAGTTATAGACTAGAAACCAATTTCGAAAGAAAATTCAAAGGGCTGTAACTTTTGAACTAGTAGCCCAATCTTGGAACTGTTTGAAATTATGGATTCTACAGGCCACATTCTATAAGAAAATTTTTTTCCGGTCGATCTGAGACAATTTTTTTTTCGGGCCTCAAAAAAAGGCAGTGTATAACCTTCCTTTTTTACCAAAAATCGACTGCACCAAAATTTCTCGGGAAAACACTTTTTCTTATTAATTTTGGTGCGTAGAATCCAAAACAATTCGTACTTTTTCGATCGACTTCTCAATCAAAAGTTATAGACTAGAAACCAATTTCGAAAAAAAATTCAAAGGGCTGTAACTTTTGAACTAGTAGCCCAATCTTGGAACTGTTTGAAATTATGGATTCTACAGGCCACATTCTATAAGAAAATTTTTTTTCCGGATCGATCTGAGACAATTTTTTTTCGGGGCTCAAAAAAAGGCAGTGTAATACCTTCCTTTTTCACCAAAAATCGACTGCACCAAAATTTCTCGGGAAAACACTTTTTCTTATTAATTTTGGTGCGTAAAATCCAAAACAATTCGTACTTTTTCGATCAGACTTCTCAATCAAAAGTTATAGACTAGAAACCAATTTCGAAAAAAAATTCAAAGGGCTAACTTTAAAACTAGTAGCCACTTTTCCAATGGGAATTAAATATGAAGCGAATTTAAGGCACAGGTGCTCGCGTACGTGACGACTTTAATGGCAGCACGGAAATTCATGTGCGATGTTGAAGAAAAAGTTATTATATTGTCATTCGATATAGTACCGGTAACAGTTTAAAGAGCCGAAAGTGACTCCTCCTCCACTCTTACAAGTTGTGTACCCACAGGATGACTCGTCCGCTTGCTGAACCACCAAAATTTCTCCTCTAAAGCTGCATCAGCCCCATTTCTCGTCCCAGCAGTGAAGTCTCTCCCGCTTCCAAAGCTTGCCTCGCCGGATAACTTATCATTTCCTCAGTTCCGGGATTGGATGCTCCGGTACTGGATGACCAGAATTGACCAGCGTGGATTTTCTTTGACTAAATCTAAAACGTGGCCCACTAGCTATAACAAGCGTCTTTCTATTGCGAACGAAAGCCCCTCTCTTCGCTCACTGCTGCTCAGTTACATTTTTTACTTTGCTAATTCGCACACATACACGCCTTATCTCTACTTTCCATGTTAAAAGTAACTTCACGTTCACAGAAAATCGTGTCGACGAACATTAAAGTTAGTTTATTTATATCGGAAATTAGCAAAAAGGAACATTTTGCAAGCATTTTATCTCAACCGCTTCTGTTGCCAAGGAATCTTTCTAAGAAAATTGCTGAGATTTTTTTTCGAGGCGCCTTTTAGGAAGAGGATTATTCACATCTTCTAGAGAGTTTTCCAAGTTTCCGTTCCCTCAAATCTTTTCGTTAAAATTGTTGAGGTAGATTTCGATATTATTTCAGGAGTAGGTATTTTTAGGAATAGATCCGATAGGATAAGATTTCTGAGGAGACCTCAGGTTATTAGATTCTGCTTGCTACAAACTTCCAGTGATGGATCATCGTGATCGTAACAATTGAAAAAGATGGAAAATCCGTCGCAATTAAAGTGAACAAATCACGTACTTAGCCTAGGATAAAAATAGCACGGACGGAAATTACAAATAGAGATATCACAGGGACGAATATTTCTAACTGCTAATTATCATCGAAGCCGTTCCAAATATTTACTTGCACTATCCTTCGACGTGCGTGACCGCCATAAAATGTAAAATAGCTGTCACTTCCTTCCTATGCAACGTGCATAAGTAAGTTTTTGTAAGGGAATGCGGAAATCATTAAAATTTTGTTCTTGATTTCTTTACGACTCTGCCATTTCTAATTTTTAGATTTCTGGGACTGATCTTGCACAATTTCTGCTACTTACCTTTACTTAGGGACATCTAAAACGGTTATTTAAGAGAATTCAAAACCAGATGGGGGCCCAAAGGCTGTGAACAAGAAGGTGACTCTTGATGCTTAATTTAAGCTCTGTTCGCTATTCCCTCAAACTTCCCTTCTTTGGTCATGTCTGCTTTAAACACTTCCTCAGGTTACCCCCACTCCCTCCTACATACTTTCTTCAAACCCATCCCACGCCATTTTCAATCCTCTTTTGTTTAGGTAGTCTCCCAACTGCCTCCTTCCCCTTTTTCCCCTCTACATTACCAGCACGTATTCTTCTTCTCCCTTAAGCTTAATTCCTTGCCCTATTTCAACTGCTTTAATCTACACTCGCGCACCTCTTTCTTCAAAGTTTCCTCGTACTTTCTATACATGTCCTTCGCCGCCTTTCGCATCTCCTTCTATGCAGGCGTTTCATTCACACCTTTTGTAACGGCTAAGTTACATTTACAGGAGTTAGAATTCCCTCTTGAAAATAAAGTTTATTCTCTACGGCACTGGTAAAAAATTAACACTCGTTTCTTATCTTAACCCGCTTTATTTTCTCGCATATTATTTCTCCAAACCTACTTCACTAATTTATTACGCCTTCGTTACTTTGGATTTTATTCTACAGGCCTCTTTCTCGTTTTCAATTTCTTCTACAAGCCTTCTTCGCGTGCGTTCGCATCACAGCCAACCACAAGAGGGAGCCTACCATTCCAACAGTAGTCTATCACCTCAACCAGCTCCCTGCTAGGTGGAGCCTCTTCTGAGTCGTACACGAGTTTTTACGACAATTTGGAGTCTGACGAGGACACGAAAACAAAGGAAATCTTTCCAGCCCCCCCCCCCAGCCTTTCGTGTTTTCCTCATAAAACCCCCTCCGGGGGGCAAGAGGTAAGAGTTACGTGGACGCCGCCGCGTTTTAGGGGATACCGAGAATGGGCGCATCTAAACGGACACGGTAAAATATTACAGACCCCCCCCCCTTCCCGCGGGGGCTTCCGTAAGAGGTGAAAAAACGCTCAAAAACACTTTTTCGGATCTGGACTAGAAGTTATTGGACGTACGGGGTTTGTACTTTCGGAATCCGTAGCCGTCGGGGGTGGGCACTTATTGAATTTCGATCAGACTTGACCACCCCGGGAGGAAGGGGGGAGGGGGGTACACTTTTGCGCCCGCTAGGCCGTAGCGGTCGAAGAAGGAGAGATACGAAAGAAACTTTACGTTGCGCGCGATTAGCCCGCTCGGTGATGCGAACGAACGGAGGTGGTGGGGGCGCACGACGCGAAGCGGAGCGCGTGGGAATTTTTCGAGAAAAAGTGCGTAATAAAAGTACGGATTTTCCCTCCGGG